TTTTATCAGGACGTAATGAATTGATCAATACTGATGTATCAAATTTTAAATACTATATACCAGACAATCGATCAAAGCAACCAGTAAGAAGTTGTTGTTTGTTTTTTTTGTAAATATATATATATGTGATGTTTTGAGTGAAATATGCATTGCATTAATGATTTGATAAGACAATAAATATCAAATAAATATTATGTTTTAATAGGTTGGACAACATACAAGAGCAACAATGTATAACATGAATACTCAATCAAAACAAATAACTTTACCAACTCCATCATCTTCATCGCCAACTACAAATTCTAATGGTGGTAACAATACAACAGGAGATAATGCAACAGTACCTACATTTGTCTCTCGTGGTCTACAGACTGATCTTGAAGTACAACCCATTGATCCATCTGCTACGCAAATGCTTTATTATGAAAAACAAAAACCTCAAGTGAATTTTTTTCCATGTTCTATTTAATTCTTAATTCTCTTTTATTATTTATATAGATTGTTCCTGTATCAGCATTGTCGAATTATACTTCAAATAATAATGGATTTTTTCACTTATCATCAAATAATACAGTTAGTCAACCAGTTTTTTCATCTACCGAACCAAAACCATCAGTACGGTTTAATGATCAACCAGATTCATCTGTTAACCAATCTGTTCCTTATTATCCTCCTCCACCACCGCCAACATCAATATTAAAAAAACCATCAACAGTATTACCTCAAGAAAACTATAATCCTCTTTCAATACAAACACATGATGAAGTACTTGAAGAATTACGTAAACGTAATAATAATACAAATGATGGTGTATATCGAGTAAAAAAAGTTCATATCATAGAAAAAGATGATCGTGAAAATCAACCAATAAATGTATCATTCAATCCTTCACCGAGTAAAGCTAGTCAAAGTATATTGAGAAGTGAAAGATTACTTTTTAATCAATGATTTAATGAACAAGAAAAAAAAAATAGACAAAGACATAAACACACACGCACACAAGAAAAGAAAATGTTTTATTTTGTTTCTTCCGTTTTTTTTTTTTTTTGTTTTATGAATAAAGATCAAAATTTGTTGAACAATCATTATGAATAGCTGATAATTTATTAATACCATTGGTTGGATTATATGTAAAATAAGATGATAAATTATCAATTGAATTATTATTTAATGTTTCATGTGGTACTGTTTGTGGTGGTGTTGATGATATAATACCACTTGTATCAAATGATGGAAATCCATAATGATTTGGTGTATTATAAAATGAATGTCTTGACCAATAAGAATTATTTGTATTAATTTTTGAATCATTAGTAACATAAACATTTGTTGATGTTGGTGTTGTATATGGGGAAAATGAACTTTGAAATGTATTTTGATAAAATGTTGATGAATAAAATGGTACATAATTTTCATCAGATCTTATTTGTTGTTTGATTTTATTTGTTGATGATGGATAAAAAGCTGAATTTGATGATGATGATAATGATGGAGATTTATTTATTGGTGTTGTTGCTATTGTTGTTGTTGTAGTTTTTGGTGAAATTATTGTTGTATTTGTTGTTGTTGTTGTACCTTTTGTGATTTGTCCATTTCGTGATATAAATGGATAAAGTGTTTGAGGATCACATACAAAACGATAAACATAACGTTCACCAGCTACTTTTTGCATAATACCTTTTTCATAATAATAACGAAGTGAACGAGATAATTTATCATAATTCATTGATGGACGATTTTTTTGTACACCCCATAAACGTGCTACCTATGAAATAAAAACCAAAATGATTAAAGAAATTTTCAATTTGAAAAAAATTTACTTCTTCAGGTTCAACTAATTTAAATTCTAAACCTTTTCCTGTCCAAATGATAATTGTACCATTAATACCATCTTCTAGTAATGCTAATAGAAATTGCCATAATTGTATTGAACCACGACGACCATATAATTGAGATTCACGTATCGAATCCCATCGACGTTCTAAAATGATTTTTATATTCAATCAATTAATTCTCTTTCTGTTTTGCATTTTTGTCATCTTACCTCCTCGATTTCGATGTTGTTCACCACCGGATCGACACGACATTGGCGCAGTATTACTGTTGAATACAAAAAACAAAAAAAATTTTTTTTTTTTAAATAACTTTAGAATTCAGTTTTTTTTCTTGTTTAATAAAGGCACTCATGTTAATTATCATGCCTTTTTGTAACTGAACTTTTACACACGTTATTAGAATTGAAATATAAGAATAGTAGTAATAGCAATCTTCTTTTTTTTTTCAGATGTGCACAAGTCAATTAGGAATTTCATTCTTCTTCGCATGTCGCATACAAAAAAAAACCAGAATGAGGTCTTTTTTTTTGCTTGTCTCTCTCTTGTCATTAGTCAAGTACTATACAATGTAACACATACATAGGTGTTATATTGAATACTCACTGGATCATTAAAGTAAATGCGTATTCTTGTTCAATATGAAAAGAATTTTCTAAATGATTCTGTTATATCTGTTTGTATAATCCTCTCTCTTACTTTCTTTCGCTTTCTTGTGGAAACCAGAAACACAACTTCAATCATTCTAGTACATCACTCACGTTCACAAATCAATCATTTCTTCTCTTTTCTCAAGAACAGATCATCATCATCATCATCATCAACAACTATCATATACACAAGAACGTTATCGGAAAAAAATGAAGCGTGTTATTTTTCTCATTTCTCTACTAATTCATTGGACATGACAATATTATCAATTATATGAGACCTATTTGAAAGTTAATAATATAAACGAGAAAAAGAAAATCAAAAACCTATGAAAGAAAATAATTGATTTAGATAGAAAAACGTCCGATATTGACTACCAACCGGAAATGAAACTAGACGTTCAAGATGAAGATCTACTTTTTGGACGATATCATATCATGTCATTGATAAAGTTAACAATCATTAATATTCGAATAGAATTTTCTATGATTTACTAAATGACTTACCCTTGAGCGTTTTTATTGTTAACAATAATTAAAGCCGACAGTAGTTAGTCACTTTACAGTTCGAGCAGGTGTATGTGATGATATGTTCTCTTTTTTTTTCTTGCTGTTCAATGATGGTCTTTTTTTTTTTTTATTTGAACTTTTAATATGAGAAAAAAAAAAGGTAAAGTGAGACACTTGAACGCGACCAAATGCTGAGCCTTATTTTTTCAATGAACTAAATCTGTGATCATCTTGTAATTGGAAGAGAAAGACAGCGAGGAAGAGAGAATACAAGAAAAAAAGGATCATTATATACAGAAAAAAAAAGTTCTTTTTCTTTACTTATCAAGTAAAAAAGAGAAATGAACCAATCGAAAGAGAATTATATGTGTATAGCCAATAATAAGCTAGAAAAAAAAAACTTCGTCTCATTCTATTTGAAAAAACAACGGGAAACTACAATTAATCATATTTTATTCAATGTCATTTAACTGATTCTTCGAGATGAGTACTGATATGAATCTGTAGCTATTTGTAAGAATGTTTTGTCTTGTTCTTCATGCAAATGAATGCAATAAATTTCGTTAAAAATTAAGAGTGAATATCGATCGCTGTTGGATCCCATCAATAGTTACATGTAGATGTTTTTGATAAAAGATTTTCATTGTTATTAAATGAGAAACGATCATTTGTTGACATTCGACAAATTTGAATGATTTTAAAAATTGTTATTTATCATAAAATATGAATAAATACGATTTAGGATTAAATTTTTCACAAATATATTTACGTTCAATGAGTAGTATATTAAATTTTTCTTTTTCTTATCTTGATCATTTTTCATGCAATAATAAATTACTATTTTTAGAAAATTTAAATGAGATGAGTATAAAACTTAATTTGAGACTTTAAGGAAAAAAGCAATAATAGAATTTCTTTTTATTATAAAGATTATGTTGAGGTATAGATTAAGTTAGATAAGTTATTTCTAGAAAAGAAAATGAATTTGATTCTTTTTTCTTAGATAAAAATAAACTTTCTAACCCAAACTACTAGACAAAGACTATTTGTTCATTCAAAGATGTAGAATAGAAAAAAAAACTGAACTTTAGCGTTAGATTTAATCAACATTATGTCTAAACAATGATTCAGAATGTACTAATAGCAAAGTACTTATCATATATTCCTGTGGTGAAATATAGATTCAACATGATTTTGTCCTTTTATTGGGCACACAATTATGATCAAAATCACAAATGTCTGCGTAGTCGCTTTTTGAACCAATAATAAATAAGAGTTTTGAAAATATTGCTTAGCATATATCGAGTCTCAATGACTAGTCATTTGTGATATTTGCATTAACTCATCTCATAACAAGTCTGATCAATGAATAATTGTTTCTTTTTAAAGTAATGGCTCTTTAAAGGTATTCCTAACAGAGGATCCACGATATGGCCTTCCAATCTTGAAAAATTACGATTTTTTCTAAGCGAAGTTCCAATATTTTATTGATTTGTTTGCTTAAAAGTTCTCAGAAACGCATACACCTGTGGATTTTCAATACATTCAGATGATTAAATTATTTCAGGTTAAAAGATGTATCAACAATTGTCTACATGATTAGAATTAGATATAAATGATAAATATAAACTATGTGAAGTAAGGGAACCTTAGGTTTGTTTTTGTTTATTATTTGAAAAAAAAGATTCTATTCCTTCGAAAATACTTGTAATATATGATATTTAAAAACATTTTGATCAAACATTTATTGTGACGAAAAACTTTCGTTGTTTTTTTGTATATTCATCAATTGCAAGTTTTGTTTTTGAAAAAGCCAATCACCACAACATATCTTTTTTTTCTTTTGTATAAAAATTAAGTGACAAAAAAAAAATCAAAGAATAACAATATTAATCCAACAATATACTTATTATCAATAGAAAGAATAAAGGAAAAAAACATAGATACGAACTAGAAATGAAATCTAACAAGAATAGAAATGACCCAATTTGGAATTCGATTAGTCAAATTAAAATTCTACATGATCTAGATGTATAGATGTTGTAGCAATAGTTTCATCACATGCTAATGGTGTTTCAAATGTCATTGTATATTCACATCGACTTGGTTCTCGTACATCACTAAGTTTTTGTTCAACTCCACATTGTAATGTAACTACTAATGATCGAGCTGGACCATTCCAACAAGTAGCACCATTAGCATATTTCATTTTTAAATATTTATTATCTTTTGGTCCACACCATGAATCCCAATAACCTATTATAACTTCACTACCACCACCTTTTGGTATTTGTTTAGCAGTTTTAAACATACATATTTGATATGTATATTCTCGTTCTTCAAAATCAAAACATTGATCAATTATTGCTGCATATTCATCATGTGGTCCAGCATCAATATTTGATTGTTTTTTTAAATCACTATAGAGAAAAATAATCGAAAACAAAAAAAACAATAATGATTTTATATTTTTAAAAACACAAAAGACACATACTCAATTTGACGTTTAATCGAAAGAAGTTTTTCTCCGACTTCATGATATTCATTACGAGCTTGATCAGCTATTTGTATTAATCTTTTTGTTTCATCATTATATTCTGGAGCTACACTATCATGAATATGTTTTTCATGTTCAAGTGACTTTATAAATTACAAAAAAAACCACAAATGTCAAATAAACATTTTTTTAATTTAATTGTCTTACTGTCGCTATTGACGATGATTGACGATGATTATCTTCTTCATAATCATCTGCACTATCATCTTCATTTTTATATGAAGATCGTGTGTGTGTTCTTAAATCATCTTCATCAACAGGCGTTTCTAATAACGATGGTTGAGTTGTTATTGAATCTATTGATGGTTCAGCAAGTGGTGTTGGTTCAGGTGTTGGTCTTGTTGGTTCTGGTAATTTTTGATATGAATTTGATATTTGATCAAATACAGATATATTAAATTCATTCAAATCAACTGAATCAGATCCAAGTATTGACTAGTTAATCAAAAGAAGAAATATGGAATTTTTAAATAGAGATTTAACAAAAGAAACTATACCCGAACTTCTTCAGTTGTAAATTCATTCTTTTGATTTATATCAAGTTCTGTATGTTTTTGTAATTCAGCAATTGATACTCTATGAATAAAATAAAGATTGAATCAATTTTCTTTTTTAGTATTAAATCAAAAAATAATTCATACAATGAATCTCCATTTGTATCTAAATCAGCAAATATTTCACGTATTTGATTATTACGTGAGATAAGGTCTTGAATAGCACGTTTTTCTACTCGGAAATAAATAAAAACATACTATTGAATAATATGTTTAATAAACAAACCTTCCCATAGTTTGTTATGTTTTTCTTTTGCTGCATTTTCTAATATTTCAGCTTGTCGTTTTAATTCTATTGAAAATAAACAAATACAAATTTATTTAACTGGATTTTCTTTAAATTTACCTTCTTTTTCTTTTAATTCATTCTCAAGTTTTTTTAAATCTTTTTCAAGTTCATCAAGTTGTTTCTGAAAAAAAAAAGCAACAAATGAACGAATGTCTGTTTTTTTTCTTCTTTTCTAATTAAATTTACTTGTCGTTCAGATTTATTAGCTATTGTACTTGCAATAATTTGTTTCTTTTTTGCTACACCTGCTTCATGTAATGCTCGTTTGGCTTCACGTCCAGCTTGAACTTTTTGAGCTAACTCACTAAACAGAAGAAAAAATTAATTCTATTAAACTAATCTTTGATTATTTAATAACAGAATAAAAAAATAACATCCAACAAAAAGAAAAATACACGTACATAGTAAACAAGAAAAAGCGTCTGTGTTGATTTAATGGATATAGTTATTAGCGAATAAAAATAAAAAAAATATTCGTAGAAGATCAATTTATAAACAAAAGTAAAAATTGTATGCTTAAACTAAACACTATATTTTAAAACAGAACGTTTATGTCGTTCTCGGAATGATTTCAAAAGACTATCACGATAATAATATATCAACAACACAAAACAAAATATACATAAAAAACGTATAAAATATGTTTTTAGAAATGAATTATTCATATAATTATCATCATCGATTGTTTTATCCATATATTTATCGATTAATAAACCATGTTGACTATATATCTTAGTGGCATTAGATATAACTTTTGACGATTGATATTTAGGTTTTTTTAATTTTATAGTTTTTTTATTTTTATTTGAAAATATTGGATTAAATATTGTTTGATAAAAAATTAAATTGTTTGTTAAATTTAATATTAATGAACGATGAGGATTGTGTGATGCACTAAAATATGAAACGCGACAAAAAGGACGAGTGTCGTCAAGCGAAACAAAAACAAATAGAATCCTCACTAACTCATGAAAACAAAACATATTTTACGAATACTTACAAACAAGTATTATTGCAAACAACTGTTGTTTCATATTCATCAGATCCATCACAACAATCTATTTAAAAAAAAAATAGTCTTTTCTTCAAATAAATCATATCTATTAAATTGTAATACATACCACATATACCATCACCAACAAAATGTGATGGTATTAATGTACCAAAATAACCTTTATTTTCACAAAAAAATTGTCCATTTGGACAAGCTGATGTTCCTGGTTCATCACTACCATCTAAGATCAATAACATATTTAATTGAATAAACAATTTATTTCAATTATACCTTGACAATCACAATAATCGTCATTAACAAATTCAAATGGAATTGTTAATGAACCATCAAGACAAGTAAATGGTTTTGATGGAACATACATTGAAAGAACTAAATTTTAAAAAATTAATTTATCATTTTCATTTAAATAAAAGTTCATGTTTTTACGTGAAGTTTGAACACCACGTAATACAGTTTGTTCAATATTTCCATTGCTAATTGTTGTACAAAACCATAAGATAATAGCGAGATTCACGTATAATGGAAACATCATTCAACAAATAATAAAACAATACAAAAAAAAAAAAAAAAAACGAAAAAAATTTGCTTGTATATCATTTCATCTCCTTGTCTATCTTGTTACATTTTCATTGGTTATTTATCATAACGAATCAAGTGACCTTTAAAAACTGTTTTTTTTTTTTTTCATAAAAACAACAACTCATCGTTGTTTTTTTGGTGAAACTATTAGATCATCTTTATATTTCACGAAGACAATCTGAACAAATACTAGATAAAAGAATAAATCTTTAATCTTCAAACGTTTACTAGCATGGACATAGATAGAAATACTATTGAAAACAACTCAACCATGTGATCCGTCACTCATTCTATGTTAGTAAACATGAGGATATCAAATCGATAAATTGGGAAAACTAGAATTTTCTTTAGAAGTCTTGTATACTTTCAGGCAACATACATCTAGAAGATGTGCTGTATGATGTACATTTATCGACGAAAATGTTTACTAGTTAATACAATGAGTCTGATGGGTTCCTCAATAACTTGTCTGATAAAAGAGGTTAAACCATGTAATGAATTCTACAGTGACCATCGAATAGTAAAAAAAAAGAGGCAGGACATATATCATTCATATTGTTTTGTAAACTTTCTTGTAAAGAAAGTCGAGTAAAATATTTATTGTTAATAAAATACTCATATTGACTAAATTATTATAGAATGATTAAAGAAGTGTTCTAGAAGAGTATCTTCAGTGCATATGTTATTAAAAATATTTTTGCATATCTTTTTCTTTTCTTTTATCATCTTAGTTAAACCCAAAAAATGTACTTTGTTAACGTAAAACTAACATTGTGAAGTAGCAAAGAACTATTTTTCAAATCATTCGACACTTTCTTTTCGTCTAATGATCACTAGACTGTTTAAACAAATCCGCGTGCACGATGATGTGTTTGGTCGTTTATCCATATCATTAGTAACATATGGGTGAGACCAATAATCTATTGATGTGGTTATTTTATTAGTGACTCTTGTCAAATTGCTATCAGAGTTAAAGAGTTTAATGTTGTGCAAGTTTTTATTAGTTCAACATATTCATGTGAAATCAAATAAGTTATTGATAGTCCAAAGAGCGTGATTAAACAAAACCGAATTAAATTTTAACACACGTAAAATTGGTCTCATTAGTGAATTAACATAAATTTCTACCTAAGAGAAAAATTTTCTTTTATAACAAATTTCTCTCATCATGAAAGTTTATTCTACTGGTATAAGTGTAAAATGACAGTAGCTAATATTACATATAAAATGAGATGATTGTTTAAATTCAATCGTTATGTTTGATTATTTATGATTCCCTATTTTCAGAACTCATTGTTCTTTGATGTATTGTTATAATTTAATCATTCATAGAGGATACCATAGAAGATTTTTATAACAAATCAATCTATAATTCTCTTTTCAAATTTTTCATCTACAAAGTGGATTTTTAATAATGAAAAGAAAACAATCAAAATTAATAATATTGTTCATAACTCTGATTAATTTGACTGGGTTGAAAGCTAAAATTACTCAGTTCAATTCTTCATACATGAGCAAATTCTTTCCTTCTCTTCCTTCACTCGAGTGTTGTTGATATAGATGTTGAGATTTACAATTAAATAACAGCGCCACATATGCTGACAGAAGTATAATATCCAATAAACACCTAGAATGATTTGACTGACTGACTGACTGACAAATAAATAAGGTTGTTGTCTCAAGCGAAATTTTATTGGTTAATAATTATGTTACGAAATGTAAAAACCAGACGTAGAGAAAAAAATTTTCTTGATACTTTTATTATTATTTTTTTCAGACTACTATGTCGATAATTATCAATAAAAATGAGATTTCATCAAATTGGAAAAATTTAGCTGTACGATTCTTAGATATATTTACTTGTATTTTAATTATTTTATATTCATTTAGACAACATTACCTGTCGGTACGAACAAAAAGAAAAAAATTGACATATTAGAAAGTCCAGTACGACCACCAAAGTACAGATTTTTTTTTTTTATTCTATGATATTCAAAGATTTTTATTTTTCATTATGTCATCAAATTAGATTAACAAAAGCTGTATGTCTAGATTGCGAAATGGTTGGTATTGGTGAAATGGGTCTTGATAATATGCTTGCTCGTATATCCATAGTTAATCAACTTGGTCAATGTCTTTATGATAAATATGTTAAACCAATAGAACCTGTTGTTGATTATCGAACATCAATTAGTGGTATTACCGAACAACATCTTCAAAATGGTTTTATTTGAAATTTATTTTAATCAATTAAAAAATTTCTTTTTTTTTTTTTTTATCATCATTTAGGAATTCCTTTGGATGTTATTCAAAAAGAAGTGTCAGATATAATTGAACATCGAACACTTGTTGGTCATGCTATACATAATGATCTTCAAGTAAGTATATAAAAACAAAAATAAATATTTGAAGAAAAATAAAATTTTTGTTTTTTGTTTTTTTTTTCAAAGGTTTTATTTTTAAGTCATCCAAAACGACGTATTCGAGATACACAACGTTATAAAGGTTTTCGATCATTATTTAATGGTGGTTTACCATCATTAAAATCACTTGCTGATAAAGTATTAGGATTAAAAATTCAAACAGGTGCACATGATTCTGTAAGTTTAAAATTTTTGTTTTATTATTTAAAAAGAATATATGATATAAAATGTAATAATATTTTTAGGTAGAAGATGCTCGAATAACAATGCAATTATATGTTCAACATCGTCGTGAATGGGAAAAATCTTTACGTGAAAAAAAAACTTTAACTAGTGAAGAAAAACATAAACGTATACGTGCTCGTCAAAAACAGAAACAATTACAAAAATCTTCTTCTTCTTCTTCTTCTCGTGTTAAAAAAAGAAATAATCTAATTTAGAACATGTTATTACAAATACATGTTTTTGTTATGTTTTAGATATTTTATAAATTTTTCATGGAAAATTTCTAGTTGACTTTTATGACCAATATTATACAATACATATGAAATGTATAATGAAATCTTAGGTATGTCAATATTCTAACTGATTATTGATTCATATTTTATAAATGTTTTATGAGTTAAATAAAATCATCTGATTGTCTAGTTTATTTTCTAGACATTAATATACAGAGTCAACCGTAAATAGTACTACGATGCAAAATTAAAATATCTACTCTTCAGTTGACTGATCTTTCGGTTAGTGATAGAAACTTATTGAACGCTTTTTTTTTATACAGATAGGGTAAACAAATATCACTGTAAAGTGAGAAAAATACATTTGAAGCATTTCATAGATAGTTTTCAGTTGTCATTGCAAACGTGTTATCACAGAACGAAAACATCGGTTTGAGATGAAACTTTCAGGATATTATAGGGAGTTTGAGAGCAATTGATGGGAGAATTTAAGATAAGAACTTCTTGTTGCGATTTTTCTTGTAATTTCCTGTAATAGGCTAACAGTTTAGTAGAATGATCATAAGCCCAAAAGAAAGATTTTATGGTACGAAACCACTTAAAATTTTTATTTACACTAGCAACATATGATCTCTAATTGAGATCGTCAGTGGAATGAGTCTCGTGATAAGAGAATAATAATAAGAAATCAAAATGAACTTTAGGAATGATATTCTATTGATGCAGACAGAGCAAGTTTTTAAAAGTATTACAAAACTAGTGTTCTACGTTCAAAAATTTACTCTATATGCATTAATGTAGTATAATTCATAAAGTTCGTTTTGATTATACGCACAATAGCGTTATTTATCTATCTCATCCATATGAGAAAAAAAACGTAAAATTTCTACCACTAACTGGAAAATCAGTTCATTTGATTGAATTGACGCGAAGATATTCTATTTTTTGTCGTAGTTCTACTTATGGCCTATCATATACATTACTTTGAGTTGATTTGATGAAGAGTTTTATTCTAAAATTTTTCAAATAATTAAAGTTTCTTCTTTGTATTAAATCAGATAAATGGATAATTACGTTATCGCTTAACTTTAACGAACAGAAAAATTGATAATAGGTATTTAATATGAAATTCACTCGAATTAAATATTTGACTAAATTTCGTTTTATAATGCATTTAAAAACAAATTTGAGTTCCATGGAACAGTCAGAAAAGAAATGTCAGGAAAATTCTATACGAAAAATACAATATGCCACAACTGAACATCTGCTCTTTGTTTTTCTTGTTTCAGACACACTACCATTTGATTATATATATATATAGCGAGAAAGCACAGATCTTACTGCATCCCTAATCATGATTAATAGATAAAGTTCATCGAGAGATAGAATACATCAGAAAAAAAGATGATATATTTTGTTACGATAATACATAATAAGAGTAAATCAACTTTGAGTTTCTTCTTTTTTCATCGCGTATGTACATATATAGCTTTCATTGTAGCCTGAATATTCAAAAGTTTATTTTTATTAATCTTTGTAGTTAAATAAATGCTTCGACAATAGTTGAAATAATTATTTGTTCATATCTGCAATAATCAACGGAGATACAAAAATTTGATTCTGTGAACTTCATATGTTATTCATGATCAGTGGTAAATTGAATTGAGGCACACTGTATATTAATTTTAGCAAAACAAGAAATTTTGCATTTAATTAATTGAGACTTAAGTTTGACAATAGTTTTTCATCATTTCTAACATATAGTGCAAAACTAATCGATATTATTTAGCCATTTGACTAAACAGATTTGAACCAAACAAAAAAAAATGATTTCAAATTTTAATAAGACAGAAATTTCACTTAAACCTTTTTCTTTCTACAATAATTTCTATACCTAGATTTACAAATGTTTGCTATTCAATTCAACTTTCATCTTTATATGCTTATACATTCTCAATAACATTATCATTTTGTCTCTATTAATTCAAGTCAGGTATTTATTTGAATATTTAAATCTTATTATCTTTATTTCATGTGATATATTAAATCATAAATCAAATAGTTTTTTTTTT